TTCAGCAGGCATCCAGCAGAATGGAGTCCTAACCTGTTCCTACGGTAATGGGCCTGGATTTAGATGTTCCTGTAATATGCTTGCTTAGTTAATACAGTAAGTAATAATGATATGAAAACATAGTTTTGAAAGAGCTGGCGTTCTAATGAATGTAATGCTCATGTCATGAGAATTATTTTTGGCAGGTTTACATTGAAAGCAAAAGGGGACAACAAATATCCTTATATTTGGCAAAATGTTATGGAAAGTCTTCGACCTTAAAGGACAAGGCCACAGAAAAGGCCATTAAGGGATCTTGGACTTTTGGGATTCCATTAGTTGGAGCAGTGACTCTCACAGTGGGCAGTCTGCACTTCTTCTTCACAGTAGAATAGATGAAGTAGCCTATTCTACTGTGTATTAAAGCATCAGGGCAAAAACAGTGCTAATACACTAAAGTACAGTAGAATTAGTGTCACTAAAACAGAATTTGCTTTTGCTACTGCACATTAGGGCAGCCTAATGCACCTTTATGTAGTACCTCATATTAGAGGGCACATCTACACATGCATTTTGATGCGCATTAGCCTATTTTAATGTGCATTAAATCATCACTGAAAAAACATGCTATTTAGTTTATGCACATTAAAATAGGCTAATGCGCATTAAGCGTCACTTAAAAACTGCACTCTTTAGTTAATGCACATTAAAAATGCTAATACCCATTGTGTTAGTATAAGCAACCCCCGCTTAACACTCTTAATTGGTTCTGGGAAAACCAAGTGTTAAGCGGAACCATGTTAAGCAAAACTCATTTCCCCATAGGCATTAATGTAAGTAGAAATATTTGGTGACTGCTGCTTCTTACCGTAGCTTCTCACCATCGCCGTGGCCTGTCCCCATCCCTCCGCCTGCCTACTGGCCACTCCATGTGTCAGTCCACAGCCCGTGCTCCTGCTGGCTCTGGCACCACGGGGTCCCGCACTCACTTCTTCTCCCTGCCACCACTTCTCTGACCCCCTGTGCCAGCCCATGGCCCACGCTCCTGCTGGCTCTGGCACTCTGGCAGGGACCCATGCCTGCCTCACCATTTGCTGCTTCTTGCCACTGCCGCTTCTCCCGCACCCCCACCCCCCCACTCCTGCTGCCCGCCCTGGGCCCCTGCTTGAGCCCACCTACTCATTGCCACTCACTGTTTCTTGCCATCGCTGCTGCTTCGCTGAGCGCTATAGCGAAACTGGCTCAGGTAAATTAGGTAAATTAGGAAATTAGGTATTCAATATAGCGAAATAGTGCTAAGTGAAACCGCGTTAAGCAGGGGTTGCCTGTTCCTCACAATGGAGGTACTAGATTTAATGCACATTAACTAAAGCACATTAATCCACATGTCCAGTGGTACTCAACTTAATGCGCAGTAGCAAAAGTGCACTAATGAACATGTAGACGTGCCCACTAGTGTGACACAAATACCTAGCCTAGTAGTTCAGGAGGTGTAGTTTGAAAAGACCTGCTAAAAACAAGTGTTTGGGTTGATCAGAAGGGAAATTTGTTCATCAGTAAGATACATCAGAAATGGAGACAAAATTCTCTGTTGGAAGCAACTGCTGTCAAGTGCTTAAAGAGAGCAATGAAAATATATGACCGTACTATGGCGGATCTTGAAAATGTATAGGATTATCAAAGTTAACAGACTGGGGGGGAAAGCTATCAACTGCAACAGGGTGTGGAACAGAAGTACATTCCAAATTGGTATTAATGACTCTGAACTTTACAGACTTTCTGCACCATCTAGTCCAGAAACAGCCAAGTAGTTTCCAAATAAAAATGGGGAGCCTGAGGAGCTAGACCTGTGATTTTGATTTGATTCATTTTATGAGAAGAAATGTACAGACTGCTGAGGATCAGGGCAGAGGACAGGGACATGCAGGTACCATTTTATCTGATCTAGACCGGTTTTATTGGAGAGACACCTTTCTTCG